TTTATGTATTTTATGTATTTTAATGGTTTGATGGTTTGTTTAATGGTTATTGTATTAATTATTCATGTGACCGCATCGAATTACTGCCTATGTAAGCCATCCTGAGTCCCCCTTTTGGGATAGAGAAGAGACGGTATATAATACGTATATCTATAATACCAGAAATAAATAAATTGGAGAGAAAGTATGCACACACCCCTCTCCTCTAAAGTAGAAACAGCTTTAATAAGCATTAAACCTTGTCTCCTCCTCTACAAACACAAGGGTAAGGATCCAGAAAGAATGGTATCTTAAACTCTGATGCTTTTTTATCCAGGTCTTAATAAAGGATATGGAAGGGGAGCTTGTGGGAAGTCTCCACATAATGGGCTGGATAGGGTGTGTTCTTAATCCTGTTGCTGATGCCCAGGGTCTCTTGAAGGGAAGAAAAGAAAGGCTCCCAAGAGAAAGGGGAGCTTCGTAAGTTCCCCATTTCTGTCACTGGGGTGAAAAGAGCTGTTTTTTTTCTGGATGTGGAATGAAAATGCCCATTCAGCAGCACGCCTGTTTCTGGGAGGCGTGCAAAAATGGATATAGGGGACTTCCAGTGTCCAACAAGCAGAAACAGATAGCAGTTCACCCAAAATACACAAGCCTAATGCAATTTTTGTTAATATGCAATCTCCCCAACATTGAAAATTAGGAATACATGATAACCTTATTGCGATTAGATAATATCTTTGTGATATTTTGTAAAATGTCTTTCTCAGTTGTGCAGATATGGATTTCAAGTTACATTTTTGTTATGTTTGTTACATTTTTATAAGCGGTTACCACCTCATCAGATGGGTCGATTTGCCCGTCCTATGTTGCTTCACCTCCCTTTTCGGCACGGAGCCCTTCACACAATGCTAAGGGACTTCTGGCTGGGCTCTGTGCTGAAAACAGAGGTGAAGCAGCCCACGCTGCCATGGCGGCAACATGCGAAATCTCCTGTGTTGCCTTTCCTTCAACGGGGGGAAGCTGGACGGCAACGCTTCCCCCATGGGATGAGGAGGAAGGTAAGGTGGGCAATGCAGGGCATGGAACAGCAGCTTCTCGACACCCCCCACCAGGAGCCCATGGATTCACACTGATGTGGGGTGAATTCATGGGCCTTTCTGATAATGTTGTTAGAGACAGGCAAGCTCTCTAAGGTTACTGGGGTAGACTAAGCTATAACAGGAATAACACTAGGGCTCTTATCCCATGCTTCCTGCCGCCCATCCCCAATTTCTAGATGCTTTGAAAACAGAGCAATAACAATGTATGACGGAGCCCTTCCCACAACACAGGGGAACTTCCTGTCTATGCCCATAATAAAACATTTAAAAAGTGCCTCAAATGTCCTTGAAAACGAGGGGGAAAGAAGACAACCATAGATCATCTTCTGAGCTCAGGAACTGATATATAACTGGAGAAAACGGCAAAAAACATGTAGGATGAAAATTGTCAAATTTTCCCGTGATGAAGCGCCTCAGTGATGTGGAGAACGGGGCGTTCCTATGGACGGTCATACCTAGCATTGACATTTAACTCCCAAAATCCTGCTTCATGAGCCTGGCATGGTAATTTTTTTAATTAATTGAAACATTAGAAATACTGAAATTTCAAATATCTTTTTCCTGTCATTTTTTCCTTTCATAGTATTATTTATTTATTTATTTACCATATTTATATACTGCCCCACTCAGCCCAGAGACAACTCAGAGCGATTCACAGATTGGCAACAATTCGATGCCTCAACAATTATAATGAGTAAAACAATCATAAAATTCTGTTAAAAACAATAACATATGATATAAAAATATAAAAACCGTACAAAGCCTTAAAATATTACCATGAGCATCTCCATGTTAAGTCATTATTCCATTGCGTTATCATGATTCCATATAGCTATGCTGTATTTGGGAAGGCCTGCTGAAAAAGCCAGGTTTTCACCTTTTTTCGAAAAGTCAGGAAGGAGTGAGCCAATCTTATATCTCTAGGCAAGATGTTCCCCAGTCGAGGGGCCACCACTGAGAAGGCCCTGGCTTTTGTAGTTGCATGTTTTTGGACTTCTGCAATGAAGAGTGCTAAGATTGGAGTGAAAAACCCAGAACCACCAGTGTAACATCTCTTTAAGATCAGTGCCTGGGGTCTACTCCAGAGCAACGGGATTGGAGGGGAAAGTCCACTACTGAGAAAGTTTTTTCCCAAGTCTTTTTAATGGACTGGGCAGGAACTGCAATCATGTGCTAAAACCAAAAATGGATGATTTGGGGCAAAAAGGCAAAAAAAAAGAAAAGAAAAAAAAAGAACATGTGATAAGGGAAGATAAATGGAACTATGTTTCTCTGTAATGCTACAGGACTAAAGACCATGCCAATAAAGACTAAAGGACTAAAGACCCCCTCCACATTGGATAATATCCTAAGGGAGACTATTTTAGGAGCAGCGGAAGAGCAAAATCAAGTTAGAGAAAAAAGGTGAAGTGATCCCCAAAGAATAGAGGTTCAAGGGTGCATCTACACTAGAATAATGGTAGTTGTAGTTTTACAATGTCTTTAGTCTTCTCTGCCAAAGAGTGCTGGAGCTTTACTAGACAGTGGAGATGCACACTAAGAAAAGTTAGTGTAGGTGCACACTAAGAAATGAATTGGTGGTTAAGACATTAGGAGATTTTAGGTGACCTTCATCCTATCACTGCTGCTGTCCCTTAAGGTGCATCTGCACTGTAGAATTAATGCTGTTTGAGCCAACTTTAACTGCCATGATGGAGTCAAGGGAGTTGTAATTTTAAAAGATCTTTGGATTCCTCTGCCAGAGTCCTGGTGCTTACTCATACTATAACTTTCAGGATTTTATAATGTTGAGCCATTGTCAACGACAACAATAACAACAACAACAAAATAACAGAAGTGCCTAGAAGTCTACTTTTGCTTTGACAAACAGGTTTTTAAATGTTAAATAGTGCAGACAGACCCTAAGCCTATTTAAAAAGCAAATTGTCATTCTATGAGGCAATTCTCATATCCCACAACATTTTACAGATAAAAGTCAGGACACGTGTTGCCGAGCAGCAACAAAGTGTGGTGGAAGTAGAAAATGTTATTTCTGAGGAAGCGCATACAAGTTAGGAGATGCTGTAGCAGTTTGCTTTTGCCAGACCATATGGAGCCCAGAGGACAATGACACTATTTTTGTTTTTGGCCACTGAGTCCTTTTAGGCAAAAGAGAGGTCTTTTTTTTAACAAAAAGAAACGAGAGCACTTTGGACTAGACATATTTGTGACTCTCAGACACACAGAAACAAATATTAAATGCAGAAGCTTTCTTACATGACATTGACTTTCTACAGGGGATGGAGAGCACATATGGCTTGGTGACACTGGCAAATTGTAGGGCCCATTTGAAAACTCTGATGTATAGAGCAAAGCTTCTTAAGCTGTCCCTAACCAAATGTGGGGGCCATGAAAAATATGTGTACCATGCCACCTAGGTTTTTTTTTGTCGTGTCAGGAGCGACTTGAGAGTCGCTTCTGTGTGAAAGAATTGGCCATCTGCAAGGACGTTGCCCAGGGGACGCCTGGATGTTTTGAAGTTTTTACCATCCTTGTGGGAGGTTTCTCTCATGTCCCCACATGAGGAGCTGGAGCTGATAGAGGGAGCTCATCCACTCTTTCCCCGGATTCAAACCTGTGACCTGTCAGTCTTCAGTCCTGCCGGCACAGGGGTTTAACCTACTGCGCCACAGGAGGCTCTTATGCCACCTAGTGACTCTTGTAGACATTTACGCATCTGTTAGCAATGCCATGCAACAAATGCTTCAGCTGTACTTCTTTTTTAAAAAAAGAAAATATGCCTGACTTGTTTAGCAAGTCTTGCAAATGTTATTTTTGCCTGATGGCTATTTTCTATACCTATACCTGGAGTCACATAAAAATTTCTCAGACAAAAAAGGATTGCCAATAGAAAATGTTTAAGCCCTGGTATAGTGCAATGAACTTTTTAAAAAAATATCTCCTGCACTATAAAATCTTTGTTTATATATCATCTATTTAGGAATCTGATGGTGAAGATTAATATCAACCGAGTACGCAAATATACAGAGATATCTGTATTTTGGAATTTTTCAGAATACTTGGTTATATGTAATGAGATATCTTGGAGATGGAACTCTAGACTAAACACAAAATTTATGTAGCCTGAAGGTAATTTTATATACAATAATGTTAGTAGTTTTATGCATGAAGCAAAGTTTGTGTATTTTGAAGCATCAGAAGGCAAAGGTGTCACTATATCGGCCACCCACATGAAGTATTTTGGATTGCAAAATTCCAGATAAGAGATCCTCAACATGCATGTTTGTTTTCAGAAGAGAATGGGAAAGCTACCTCTTACTATATTTGTATAGATCAAGTTCAACAGGAATGGCTATTCACAGCATGGATAAATGTAGTACCCAACTGCCATGAAATTCTAATTAGAATGATTGCATAGTCTGCCCTCCACATTTATTATGATTAAGTGCTCAGAACTCCTGCAAAAATGGAAAAAAAAATCCAAATTAAAAAACTAAGTTTTTACCCTAGAGAAAATCTCTCTAGTAATGTCTAGATCGTCCAGCATGGCTCCAATGAAAGTTCACCACACCGTAGGAGTTACACTGGAAAACCTAGAGATTCCTGGAAAATAATTTTAATCAAAACTGTGAATGCCAAACTCATACATGTGGAGGGTCACAGTGTACAAGGATTCAAGTGCAGGATTTTCGAAATCAAGTACTCAAGGACTTCGGCCTCAAAACATAAACCCATCAGTTTTGTTGTATTTTCCATTTGAATTTTCAAAACTCTCATCTTATTTCTTTCCTAAATAGAAGAGATAACAAATTTGGGCAAGTTCTTATTGTTTGAAAACAAAAAAACTTGTTTTATATGTGTATTTCTTTGTACACTCCTTGAATGTTTGCTTGTGAAACATAACACGGGACACACTGATTTTCTGTTTGCATCAAGCAGCAATAGACTTTATTGGGTGACCTTCAGCAATATCAAAAGCTGAAAGCCAGCCATTAATAAAAAAAACAGTAAGAACAAGTTCCGCAAGAAAGAACTTTAAAGAAGAAATGAGTGGTAAAGAAAATAATCAGCTGCAACTTATGCAGTAACAGCCAAAGCAGAGTCAAATAGCTAGAGAGAGCAATCCCCTCTATCTTGGGAATCCATGAAGACAATTGTCAGTGGTCGTGCTTTTCCTCTATTGGAAGAACAACTTAGAGGGTTTGAGACTGGATTGTCATTGTAGGGCAGCCGGTTAGTCAAAGGATTTCCTTCCGTGACCTGTTGAGAGAGGGGGAAATTGATAAGTCTATAGAGAACACAGTGGTAGAAGTCCAACAAAGCTTACCACTGAAGAGTCAAGAATGACTCAGTGTGGGCACTAGTAATAGAGATAAATAGTGTGAATGACCCAAAGTGTCTTCCCTTCTTGCCTAGCTATCCTGGCTCTTCTGTGATAGAAACAGACACACTTAGAAAATTTCCCGCACTTCTCTTTCTCCAATCTTCTCTCAGCTCTTTCCTAGAATGAAGTTAGTTCGGATTAGCAGTCTGGGTAACTTTCCTATCTTACAATGGAGCTCCTATAATAAAACTTTTTTGTTTTCTTCTCTGAAACTTTGGTGACTTTGATCCTTAATCAGGATTTATGGCCACTGCCTGCACTCTCTACAAAAGTCTACAAAAAGGCCAGGATTCCAGTGGGGCTTTATGCCAAGTAAATGGCCACTTATCCAAGTGCCTGCATTTTTAAATGGATTCCATCAGTAGATGTTCAAAACACAGTTCCAAAAGTGTTCCTTCAAGTTGTGCAACAGTGTTCTTTGAAAGGTACCCAGGCATTGTTCTGCTCTCTATCTACTGAGCTAAATATTTAGTTTGCTTGCAATCTCATGGAAGGGAAAGAGCACACTAGCTCTTGGAAGAGCCCACTAGCTCTTAACTAGATCCTGGCTGATGTCTTCAAATTTCCATTGTATTTTTTTTCACCATGAAATTAACATTTGAAGTATCATGTGTGCATGACTTTCCCCACTGCCACGTGAAAAGGTTATAAAGACACGTTAAGGCTCAAAGAAGCAAAATGGTCGTTGGATTTACAGGATATTTCCAAATGATGGACCCACTTTCAAAACAGTATATTTCATAATGGCAACGTGTTACAATTACTTAAAAATATATAAATGGTTTAATGAGTTACCAAGTTATCTAGAGTTACTATTTTCAGCCAGGAACCAAAGAAACTTCACAAAGAAAAATATCTTATGTCATGAGGTTTCTATCTGAGGCTGGATATAATCAATTTCTTTAAGACAGATAATTCACATTGAACCAGATTCTATGAGTCAAAGCTGATAATTTGGATTTTATATGGCAGTGTAGATTCAGCCTAAGGTAAGGAACTGTTTGTGCACTGGGGGGGGGGGCATCTAGTAGTAATCCTTTGAAGCTCTATGCCTCCCTCTTTCAAGTGGTAAGAGTTTCATTCAAATCGGGTCCATATTTTTGAAACATCCCATATTCTCACAATTCCTTCCCTTGGCCTTGTAAATAGGGGAAATATGACTTAATCAGAGTAAGCCTTTTTATTCTGAAAACTATCAAGAAAAGAGCAATTTCCTGAATGAACCCGGACAATAAGAGTCTGACTGTAAGTAGGTCAGCTGATGTTCTCCCCTTTTTGCCTTGTATTTTATTCGTGTTGTATTTTGAAATGTTCATATGACTAGTCAAATAGATAAATAAATATTATTATTATTAAATATGACTTACGTGAAGACCCTCCGCCTCCTCCAATCTGACTTCCACCACCACTTCCTCCTCCGATGACTCCTCCGCTGCTCATGCCACTACTGCTGCTCATGCTTCCGCTCATCTTTCCTCCACTGCTGATGCTTCCTCCGCCCATGCTTCCTCCACTCATGCCACCACTGCTGATGCCTCCTCCGCTCATGCTACCACTGCTCAGGCCTCCTCCACTCATGCCACCTCCGCTGATGCCGCTACTGCTCATGCCTCCTCCGCTGATGCCGCCACTGCTCATGCCTCCTCCGCTCATGCCTCCTCCGCTCATGCCACCACTGCTCATGCCTCCTCCGCTCATGCCACCACTGCTCATGCCTCCTCCGCTCATGCCACCACTGCTCATGCCTCCTCCACCAATCCTGCCAATGCTGCCTCTTCGACCACCTCCATAGCCTCCTCCATATCCTCCTCCATATCCTCCACCGCCTCCTGAACCACTGAAAACGAGAAACATCAGAATGAAATTCCTTGCAAACTTCATTTAGAAAAAGAGCATTAATGTAGAACCTGCTTATGGACTAGACATCAAATGGTGACATATCAATTTAGTGTGGGAAATATATGTGCTCAAAGAAATGGAGAGGCAATACATGGGGATTCAACAGTATAACATTGTACTATTGCAGGGGTGAGCCACTTGTGCCCTTCCAGATGTTGTTGGGCTCCAACTCCCATCAGGCATAATTACCACCACCAGTAATGAGCAATGATGACAGTTGCAGTCCAGCAACATCTGATAAGTCACAAGTTTACCACCCCTTGGTAAATGGATTAGTAAATCACTCAGTGCAGGACAACTGATATTTTCACTCATCACATCAATTCATTTACCACTTACTCTGCATAAACACTGTTATATGATCAGTAACTACATAATAGAAACAAATCAGTTTACTCTCGAATCTTCTGTAGGTAAGCTTGTTGAGGTGCATTATTGGCAGCATCAGAGTAACAAAACAAGTATAGATATTTGTTGCAAATGGGCAGAGCTTGGAAAAATTACTTTTTTGACCAATTCTCCCATAAGCAACAAGCCAGCATTGCTAGATTTTGGTACCAGGATCTTTGCCATCAAAATTTCACCATAATGGATTAAAAGGCCTAAGAGAATCAACATACATTTCTTGCTGTCCTTGGTCAAGCAGTTGTCGGTACTGGGCAATCTCTTGCTCTAGGCGAGTTTTGATGCCAAGGAGGGCTTGATACTCCTGACTTTGGTTTTCAATCTCCCCACGGAGGCCGGCCAATTCTCCTTCTACCGGTTGGATCATGGTCTGTATCTGTTGCAGCTGCATGTTATAACGGCGTTCTGTGTCTTCTAAATTGCTTTGTAGAGACTGGAGCTGAGAGCAGAAAGGAAACACACATGGGAATTAATCTTCAAGCATATATGCAGACATGCTTTGATGGAAGGCAGAAATAAATCTCACTTCCAGGGAAAGAAGAAAAATGCAAACATTATACCATAGCCAAATGGAAAAATCAGATGGATGAGTCTCCTATGTACATTTTCCCCCAAATGTTCAATGCCACATACCATGCTGAGTGCAGACTGCAGCTCGATCTCCAGTGTCTGATATTGTCGTCTCAGATCTGTAACTTGCTGGTTGCCTGAACTTATCTCCAAACCACTTGAGCTGACTTGTTGACGAACCTCCTCCATCTAAAGGACACAAATTAAGATATATTCTTTCCATTTTGAGACAGGATATGTTTGTTCACATAAGGAAGATAAAAAAACATGTTAAGTATTATGCATCCACCTGTAATGGCATCCTTTTTCCTGCATCTGATTGCTAATCTTTAGATATTTTGTCTATTCTCTTTAGGAAAAAATTGATATGTGTTCATTCCTAAATTTGTCCTGTCTCTGTTTCTACATGAATTATGCCTCAGAAGAATAATTTTCAGAAACCCCAAATCCAATTCATTTTACAATAGGTCAGTTTGAATTTGACTGAGGGGCCTTTTGTATTTTCTCACTAAACATTGTTCTAATGAAATTTTCTCACACAACTGTAACTTGATAGATAATAGTTTAGGATACTTTGGTTTGTACTCTATAGAGCAGTGTTTCTCAACCTGAGGGTCGGGACCCCTGGGGGAGGGGTTGTGAGGGGAGTGTCAGAGGGGTCTCCAAAGACTATTTGAAAACAAAGTATTTTTTGTTGGTCATGTGGGAATTCTGGCCCAATTCTATCGTTGGTAGGGTTCAGAAGGTTTTTTGATTGTAGGTTAACTATAAATCCCAGCAACTACAACTCCCAAATGTCAAGGTCTATTTTCCCCAAACTCCACCAGTGTTCACATTTGGGCATATTTAGTATTTATGCCAAGTTTGGCCCAGATCCATCATTGTTTGGTTCCACAGTGCTCTCTGGATGTAGGTGAACTACAACTCCAAAACTCAAGGTCAATGCCCGCCAAACCCTTCCAGTATTTTCTGTTGGTCATGGGAGTTCTGTAGGTGAACTGTAAATCCCAGCAACTACAACTCCCAAATGACAAAACCAATAACCCCCAACCCCACCAGTATTCAAATTTGGGTGCATTGGGTATTTGTGCCAAATTTGGTCCAGTGAATGAAAATGCATCCTGCATATCAGATATTTACATAATGATTCATAACAGTAGCAAAATTACAGTTATGAAGTAGCAATGAAAATAATGTTATGTTTGAGGGTCACAACAACCGTATGAAGGGGTTGCAGCATTTGGAAGGTTGAGAACCACTACTATAGAGGGTAGCCTACTCTTTAAAGTTGCCCTGTCTTTGAAGGGTTGCCCGGTCTAACTCAAGTTTAAGGTTCAAGTAGCAGTCTTGAAATGTTGGTATTGACATCTCAGGTTCTGGGATTCTGACCTGAGAAACATAGATGTTAGGAATATTGACCAAAGAGGAATATGTCTTCATTCCTTTCAACTGAATGCTGGAAATAAATTGACCACTTCACTTTTCTCACTGGGGTCTTATCTTCTAGTAAAATAGTCTTCTGCTCATAAGTTAGATCGCCGTCCTCTCTTACACATGACTCCATCATTACATGTTCTTCCTTTGAGCTTCAACTTTAAAAAACCTTCATTTTGCATTTTCCTTATCCTAGCTTTCTTCTGCTAACTCCTCCAGAAATCTGTAACATTGAATGCCAACTCAGATACAACCCCACCCTAATTTGGTTCTTGGGACAAGACTGTTGTCTGCACTCTTACAAGAATCACTCTCCCAAGAGCATAGATCGAGCAAGAATCATGTATAGTGCAATAAGAACTATTGAGTACAAATTGATTTATAATATATATATGACTTGCCTTGCTTTCAAACCACTGCTCCACTTCTCTGCGGTTGCTATCAATGATGCCTTCATATTCAACCCTGAGTTGATCAAGACGTTGCTTGAGATCCGGACCAGGAGCAGCATTCACCTCAACATTGACAGCACCAACACCACGTTGGCTTTGCAGTTCTCTAAGGGCCTGCAATGGTGGGAAAGGAAAATGCATTGTACAGTGAAATATACATAATAAACAATGTTTATGACCCTATGATACATAGATAAGGGATGTAGAAAGCATTATTCATCTCTATGCAAGGCGGGGGGAAGGGAGTAAATGTGGAATCAAAATATGATACACATTACAATTTGATGGCCAAAATCCAATGATTAGTCCTAAATAGAAAAGAACGATGTAAATAATTTTTTGAATGGTGAGTGAATCCTATTGAGTCTAACCAGGAGTCACAGTGAGTACTTGAATGCAAATGTTTCTCTTTATTATTTTTGATTGATTATATTATTGAGTACAGCTTATTTTTTAAAAGAAGACAATTGCTTGGTTGGTAAAACTGATGTTTAAATTGGAGGCTTACCTACAATATATGCCTATTTCGAATTTCATACTCAAACTAAATGAAAAAAAAATGGTAGTTATACTTGATAAAACCACCCTTTTTTATTTAGTTTGAATATGAAATTCGAAATAGGTTATACTTGATAAAAAGGAGCCTCCGGTGGCGCAGTGGCTTAAACCCTTGTGCCAGCAGGACTGAAGACTGACAGGTCACAGGTTCTAAACCAGGGAGAGTGCGGATGAGCTCCCACTGTCAGCTCCAGCTTCCCATGCGGGGACATGAGAGAAGCCTCCCACAAAGGATGGTAAAACATCAAAACATCCAGGCATCCCCTGGGCAATGTCCTTGCAGATGGCCAATTCTCTCACACCAGAAGCAACTTGCAGTTTCTCAAGTTGCTTCTGACAAGAAAAAAACTTGATAAAACACAGAAGTCTTGGTTTTTTACTGTTTTGTTCATGGCTCACTAGCGTACTTACCTCCTGGTGGTTCTTCTTGAGGGTGATCAGCTCCTCTTTGGCAGACTCAAGCTGAGCCTCCAGATCAGACCTTGCAAGAGTCAATTGATCCAACATTGGGCGCAACCCATTGATATCAGCCTCAACATTCTGGCGGAGACTAGCTTCAGTTTGGTACCTAATCCAGAGGAAATGGCAAGGAAAGAAAAGTACACTTTAGGGCAGGGATCCAAAAACTTTTTAAAAATAGGGTCAGGTCATAGTCCCTCAAACTGTTGGAGGGCCGGATTATAATTTTTTTTTAAAAAAAATGAATGAATTCCTATGCACAGTGCATGTATCTTATTTGTAGTGCAAAAAACACTTTAGTACAATACAATAATTAAAATGAAGAACAGTTTTAACAAATATAAACTTATTAGTATTTCATTGGGAAATGTGGGCCTGTTTTTGGCTGATGAGATAGGACTGTTGTTGTTGTGTGCTTTCAAGTCGTTTCAGACTTAGGTTGACCCTAAGTAAGGGCCAGGTAAATGACCTTGGAGGGCTGTATTTGGCCCCCGGGTCATAGTTTGTGGACTCCTGCTTTAGGGAATGAGGGCTAACAACTTCTGAACAATCCAGTTCAACACTTAGCATGCTCAAAGGTTACAAAATGCTATTCGGGTATTCAAATGGAAAACTGAAAACCAGAAAGGAATGGAATGAGCTATTTTGGATAAAAGTTATGGATGGTTGATTGCAGCTGTGTGAATGTGAAGAACTAGCTCATATAAAATCTCAAGGAAGAGCTAGAGCTTGAAAACTAGTTGAACTTACTTAAGCTGGAAATCTTCGGCAGTCATCCTGGTGTTATCAATATTCAGAATAATCCTGGTAAGGTCATTAGTTTCCTGAATCAGCTGGAATTGATGAATGAAAGAGTTTACATTTAATCAAGATGTTTGTTCCTCTTATTAAAACATAGCAGAACCCTGCAGTTCACCTTTCCCAAATCTGTCTCCTTCTAAATCCTTGCCAGGCAACATGCCACTGCCATTCATATATGTTTGGATTGATCTGAGTCTATGAAAAGCAAACACATTTCTATTTTGATCTAAATTAAGCAATTGAGGTAGATGGAACACAAATTTATCTCATTTTACGAATTACTTTTCGCACTGTCTTTTTGTTGGTACATTTATGTTTGTCTGATCTATATAAGCTCAGATAGATAGATAGATAGTAGGCCTGGGTAACAACGGAAAAATTTGTTTCTAAAATCGATTCGTTTTTTGGGGTTTTTTGCGTTTCGATATTTAAAAGAATTCCGAATTTTTTTTAAAAAAAGTTCGATATTTACGAAATTTCGTAAATGGTAAAAAAATTACAAAACAATAACGAAACAATAACGAATCGATTCGTTAATGGCGGACGCGACCGCGCAATACGCTAAAAAACCTCCAAATGGGACAGGGGGAACTTCTGAAGCTTCCCTCTCCCTCTGTTGTTGACTGTTGGTGTGATATTATAATTTTTTTTCACTAATTAAACAAAAAAACTATAAAACTTGCCCCAGACATGCGGAAATAATAACGAAACGACCTCAAACCAATAACGAAACGAATACATAAGGAAATACGAAGCATTTACGAAACGAATTGAAAAATTCGTTTCGTTTTTAAGTTGCTCCAGAATGGTTCGTTATCGCTTCGTTAACAAAAAAATAACGAATTTTTAACGAATTACGAATTAACGAAACGAAACCGCCCAGCCCTAATAGATAGATAGGCAGATAGATGAAGCGATTCACAACCTCATCACATAGAAGAAGTGTCTTCTCCCCGCTTCTCTCCATTGCTGGCATGGAGTACCCTGGAGTCCACCACATAACACAGAGCTACTTCCAGCAGGACTAAGTGGGACTCCATGCCAACAGTGTTGCAGCAGTGCTGTCCAGAAGAGTTGGGTGTATATCTGACTCCTCATAGAAAAAAAGGCAAAAGAGCTGAAGAGGAAGCCAGGGACAGTGGGGAAACATCATGTGAAGGAATATCACTGCCCCAACACTGCCCCATGGTTTCCCCTCTGTCCCCGCTTTACAATGGGCCATCTTAGAAATGAAGATGTCTTACAAAACTTCTTGTATCTTTGCTTCTGCTGTTGTCCACTGAACATGGATGAGACTCTCCCAGAGTGTATTGGACTATTATTTTTTTATTTACTGCACTTATATCCCAACTTTCTCACTTTGAAGGGGACTCAGGGCAGCTCACAACAAAGTCACAATTTGATGCCACATTAATAATAATAATAATAATAATAATAATAATAATAATAATAATAATAAATGAGGCTAAGCCCAGCAATGCAACAATGCAAATATACACATAAGAAAACAGCAATAAGGGGTTAAAAGTTTAAAAACACTGGGTGAGAGAGCAATGTAAAGTATCTAGACAGAGGATCTGAGGGACAAGTAGGTTTTAATTGCAGTACCAGGTAAAATAAAGTGCTTCCAAGGGCATTTAATGCAGGGTTTGGTCAGGTCAGGGGTTATTGTTCATACATATTTTTATCTTATGTATATACATTAAAACCAAATAATTAAAAACATATTCTTAAAAGCAATTACTTTGCACCACGTAATCCAAAGGCCTATTCCAGAAGTCATTCCAGCCATACATTGCACTGTTCCATAGTCACTTATTGCACTGCGAGTCATTGTTCAAAGACTTGGTCCCACATCCATGTCTTCACTTTCTTGCTGACTACAGACTACAGTTCCCATTATCTTTGAGCAATGGTTATACTGGCTAACTAGGAATTGGAGTTTTAAAAGATCTGCAGGGCCAAAGACAAACTTATGTTCCTCAGTTTTACCTGAAAGTCTGCAGTTTCACTTCAAATAGAAACTCATATGACCTAATTATCCTAAGTCTCTGTATGTAGAAAATTAGTTTCTAGCCCTTATTTTCCTTTGACATGCTAGTTTTCTGAAGTGCTACAGGCCTGAGATCTCTTTTCTTGTTTTGAGAGAAGTGGACATTTATTGCTTCATATTTACAACCAACAAGAAGAGAAATTGGGGTAGAAGAGTCATGGTATCTGGGAATTCGGGTTCTGTTAAGAAAGTTAGAATGCTAAAATGAACTTATATAGAAACAGGGTCCTCTTTAGATACTTTGCCCATTGTTCCTTTACAGTTTAAAAATGACCTCACTGTAAAACCAAAAAAGGCAATACCAAATCTTGAACGAATTATTTTTGGGATCACAAGTTCCAGAATACTTCAGCCAACATGCCAGGGAAATCAGGGAATTGTAGTTCAAAAGATCCTGCTCAAAGCAGCTGCTGATTATTTTATGCTTCTGGTACTCTAGAGCAGTGGTTCTCAACCTGTGGGTCCCCAGATGTTTTGACTTTCAAGAAATCCTAACAGCTGGTAAATTGGCTGAGATTACTGGGAGTTGTAGGCCGAAACACCTGGAGACCCACAGGTTGAGAACCACTGTCGTTGTGTGTCTTTTCTTACACCAACAGTATATTAAGTTAGGCTTCTAATTCCGAGTTTTACCTTAAAGCATTATGTCACTTCAAATATCCTTACTACATCACGCCTTTCTAAGCACTTCTTCACACTAGAGAAAAAATCCACTTAAAATCCAGTTTCTGCCTCCTGCAGAATTCTGAGGTTTGTAGTTTCATGAGGCTGTTTAAAGGCTCCTCCCTAACCTACAAACCTCAGAATCCTGCAGGAGGAGAAACAGGATTTTAAGTGGATTTTTTCTCTAGTGTGATGAGGCTCTAAGAAGGTTAAGCAGCTGTGAACCTCAAGACATTAGGCTATATCTCTCAGCATCTCTTGTGAGCATACAATTAGACCACAAATTGCCCATTGCTTTTCTGTGTTCCTTTCCTTACCCTTTCTTTACAGTGATGAGAAGATCTAACATGGATTCAAACTAGAGGCAAAGAAATTCCACCTAAACATTAGGATGAACTTTCTGAATATAAGAAATGTTCAACAGTGGAATGTGGTGCCACATCTCCTTCTCTAGTGCTTTTTTAACAGAAGCTGGATGGTCATCTGTCAGGTGTGCTTTCATTGTGTACTCCTGCATGGCCATGGGTTGAACTGGATAGCCCTTATGATTCTTCAAACTCTATGATTCTATAAATCTGTATGTATACAAATATCTAGAATTTCTGTAACTCATCCAGGACATTACAAATAAGCATTCTATTTATAACATGCTCGATACTACTGAAATGTTCCTTAAATATCTATCAAATATTGTACTTCTTGAATTAATAATAGTCTAGGAATCCAAGGACTTAGAAGAATTATTCCCAAACTTTTGTCATCTGGGTGTTGTGGACTTCAGTTCTTAGAATTCCCAAAATTAGGCTGCTGGTAGTAGAAAACCTAAATACCTACAGAAACAGAGTCTGGGAATTACTGCTTTAAAAGGTCTGTTTAAAATGGAAGATCATACCTGATTGTAGAGTTGCTCAATTTCCTGGTAAAAAGGGTTGTAGTCCCTTATGGTCCCCACATCACCATGTTTCTGGTACCATTCTCTGATATACATTTCAAGCTGAGCATTGTCGTCTTCCAGGCTTTTCACCTTATCCATGTAATTGGCCAGGCGGTCATTCAGGTTCTGCATAGTTGACTTTTCATTGTTGGAGAGAAGGCCCCCATCGCCACCCCCAAAACTACCACGTCTGAATGGGTAATAGCCACCACCGTAGCTACCACCACCATAGCTGCCTCCTCCATAGCTACCACCACCAAAGCTGCCACTACTGTAGCCTCCACCACTACCATAGCTAACTCCACCATAGCCACCACCACCATAGCCTCCACCACCATAGCCTCCACCATAGCTGCCACCACCATAACTGCTACCACCATATCTTCCCCTGCTTATTCTGCCAGCACTCCCACTGCTGAAACCACCACTCCTGGATCCTCCTCCACCATAACTTCTTCCAGAATATCCCCTGGAGGATGATGAAGAGCTTGTGATTCTGACACCTCCGCCACTACTGCTGGCACCACCACTGCCACTAACACCACCACTGCTGAGACCACCACTGCTCATGCCACCGCTGCTGATGCCACCGCCACTGATGCCACCGCCGCTGATGCCACCGCCGCTGGTGCCACTGCTGCTGATACGTCTAGAACTTCCTCCACTGACGGTGTGGCTGCCTCCTCCACTGCTATAACTTCCACCTGCACTCCCTCCACTGCTTCCACCTCCCTTAACACTCATTGTAAAAGATGTTTAAGATCCCAAGAAACCCTTAGAAAAGCCCCAGAATTCAGCTGCACAGCCTGGGATTGGGATTCCGACTGCAAAGTCTTCCTCCTGGTTGATCCTTATTTAAATCCTTCAGGGAAGGTGTTGCCACAAAGGGTGTTCCCCCACTCCACCCATGGCATTTGCCAATCCCGTTGTTTATGCCAAAGATGATCCACCAAAGGGAGGGTGTTTTTTTTCTTTCAGGTTTCAAATTTATCAAAGATAATCTAAGACATCCCTGGCATGTTGTCACTCTCTCTCAAAGGGCTTTTCCAGCAAAAATGCAGTGCTTTGTTGTGAACTTACAATTCAAGGACCTGCAATATGACTTTCAGTTTTACTTCCATCCCATGTGAGTCAGTAGTCAACTTCTCCATATCCAATACACCTTACTTACTTACTTAGGCGATCCCTCGTAGTCTGAGGATGATGGTGCTCCAAGTGTAGTGTCCTGGCAGTGGGTCCGTAGGTGACTGTGGAGCCCTATTCTTGATCTGCATCTTCTCCCACAGTGAAGGCATTGGTTTCCAGGTGGAAGGTGGTCCCGGTCAGGGTTGGCTTGATGCACCTTCCTCTTGGTACATTTCTCTCTTTCTCCCTCCATTCGTGCATCTTCAAATTCTACAGTACTGCTGGTCAAAGCTGACCCCCAGCTGGAGCACTCAAGGGCTAGGGCTTCCCAGTTCTCAGTGTCTATGCCAGAGTTTTAAAGGTAGACTTTGAGCCCATCTTTAGATCTCTTTTCCTTTCCTCCAACATTCTGCTTTCCGTTCTTGAGTTCGGAATAGAGCAACTGCTTTGGGAAACGGTGGTCAAGCATCCGGACAACGTGGCTGGTCCAGCAGAGTTTATGGCGGAGGATCAATACACCATGCAATTATTCATAAAGGTTTACCTTTGCAAGAAATGGATGGGAGGGTGTGAAACAGAGCATCACAAAGACATTATTTGTTGTTGTGCAACTTCCGACATTTCAGAGTTATGGGGACCTCTTATGAAGTTTTCTGGATTGAGACTGTGTGCCTTACTAAATGTCACCCGGCAGGATTTTGTGACCAAGCAGAGAATCGAACCCTGGTGTCCAGAAACAAAGTGCAGTTTCCAACCAGTACACCACACTGGTTCTTTTTGTCTTCTTCTAAAGCACAAAAAATTGAACAGAATGAAGAAATGCTGAATATAATGTCCAGAGAAATTGGGTTTTTTTTTCTTAATAGGAAACACAATTTTCTGTGTGTATTTGGTGCAGATGGAAACTTCGATAGGGACATAACATGAGAAGACCCATCCAAAAGGGTATAGATTGGGGAGCAATGTGCCCTTCTAGTCTGCTATGGTCAGATCTCGCTTGGAATATTGTGTCCAATTTTGTATACCACAGTTTTAAGAGAGATATTGACAGGCTGCAATGTGTCCAAGGAAGGGTGACTAAAATGATCAGCAGCCTGGAAACCATGTCCTATGACAAGTGGCTTAAAGAGCTGGGTATATTTAGCCTGCAAAAGTGAAGATGAGCGGAGACATGATAGCCCTGTTTAAATATTTGAAAGGATGTCATAAGGAATGGGGAGCTGGCTTGTTTTCTGCTGTCCTGGAGACTAGGACTCAGAGAAATGGGTTCAAATTACAGGAAAAGAGATTCTACTTGAACATTAGGAAGAGCCTTCTGACTGTAAGAACTGCGGAATTCATTGTCTTGGTGTGTGTTGGAGGCTCCTTCTTTAAAGGCTTTTAAACAGAGGCTAGATAGCCATCTGTCGGGGTGCTTTGTGCTTTTCCTGCATGACAGGAAGTTGGTCAGGATGGCCCATGTGGTCTCTTTCAACTCTATGATTCTATGTAATTACTGTAATTACAGGCTCAAGCATCAATAAAACCAATTTCTGAAGGAAAATAATTGAAAAATCACATTTAGAAAGAATCCAAAGTTTAGAAACTTCTTCTAAAAGTGTCAGGATCAAAGTAGAGTGCCACTTAAGTAAGAACAAAAAGGGCCAAATTGATTAGTGATTTGCACAGCATTTGTGTAGATTATAGATATTGAAGCAAATTTAGTGGCAGTGACAATCAAACAGAAACCAGATTCATCTTTACAGTGGGTAAAACTGTACTTATTGGATTATATTGGTCTTGATGGTCTTGAAGTCATTTCTTGAGCAATTTTTCACACATACGCACCAACAAATAATTAGGAGATCTAGAAGCTACTTTTAACTATTACCAAATACGTTGCAATGAAAGATTAGATTGACTAGTATTCATTACATTTTGTATCATGGTAGCTTTAACATGCTCTGAAAATTGTTTTTGCCATAGCAGACCAATCTCACTACCTATCTGGAAGTCTTTAGCTTTAGTGAGGGCCACTCACCTCATGCCTCACTGGATCTTGGAGTGCAGATCAGATCATCTCAGGATATTTATCATGCTATCTAAGGAGGATGGGATTTGTAATATCATCTTATTTGGTGGGCCACAGCTTCTCATCCCTTTATTATATATACAAGAAGACACTCCCCCCCCTCCCAAAAATGTGTTTATTTCCCACAATTTCTGTTTCCACCAGTCTATGGCAATCTGAAAATATTAGATAGTTCCCCCTTATCTGTGGTTTCAATCTCTGACATTTTGGTTACTCACAGTCAACTGAAATCCAAAAGATATTATTGATATATTTTTGCTAGTATCTGCATTGTCCAGTATCTATGGAGAAGTTTGGAAAGATTCCCCTGTGGATGAGAAAGTCTTGTTGTATACACTTACATGCTCTTGTTACATCCAGGAAAGACTACTGCAATGCACTCCATGTGGGATTGCCTTTGAAGACTGTTGGGAAGCTTCACATAGTCCAACGAGAGGCAGCCATGTTAATAACTAGGGTGGCATACAGGGAACACACAACTCCCATGATACATCAACTCCACTGGCTGCCTGTTTGCTACCGGGCAGAATTCAAAGTGCTGGCTTTGGCCTATAAAGCCCTAAATGTCCCCGGCCCAGTTTACCTGTTCGAATGCATCTCCCTTTATGAACTACCACGAAGACTAAGATCTTCTGGGGAAGCTCTGCTCCCGGTCCCACCACTGTCACACGCTTGTTTGACGAGAGACAGGGCCTTCTCGGCGTTTGCCCCCCCCAGCTAAATTTAGGAGGTATCCTTAGTTTCCCCAAACCTGGAATTCATGACTGAACACACAATATCCTTGGAGACAAGAATGTATAACTTTGATCATATGTTAACTGAAAGTTGAACAGGTCTTTCCGTTCTTTACAGAGGTCAGTTAATATTGGTGTGAAAATACAATCAATCTCCTTGCTAAAATTCAGTCTCCCTGGATTCAAAACCTTCTGCAAGAAGATTCTTTTTGTACATGTATGGCAGCACGGATTCCTGTATTGATACATGTAAAATGCATCATGAGGTCATTGCCTCTGGTCATATCTTTGCTAATCGATTGTACTCTCTGAATATAACTCAATTCAGAGTATAAATTGCTAGTCTTCTTTTGTAATTTCCTTGTTGAAGGACTGCAACCTTTAAATATCACACTAAATGCCCAAGGAGGTGGCAATGTTCTGCAAATAGTTTTTGTGTACTGCTACAATAGATTTCATGTAGGCATATTGAAATCAATGTGGCTTATGTTAATAATGACTAATTTAAGTTATTGATTTCAGTATGTCTGGGGTTGGCCAATATTTATACTGTAAATGCAATTTACCAAGTGTTTCATTTCCAGTTCTCCTGTTTTGGGCTGCTCTGCACTGTAGAATTAATGCAGTTTGACACAAATTTAATTGGCATACCTCAATTCTGTGGAATCCTGGACTCTTTACTCTGGTAATATAACAACATTTTTTGATAGAGAAAGCTAAATGTTTTGCAAAATGACAACTCCCATGATTCCATAACATTGAACCAAGGCCATTAAAGTGATATCAAAAGTGCATTAATTCCATCCTAAGTAGGCAAGACAAGTGCAATCTACAGTTTTTTGCGAATGATTTCTCATTTGTGTGCAATACACTGCATTTTGGTGTATGCTTATTGTGTTCTAGCAAAAATTCTAGTCTACAGGGTTGAGATATCATGGTAACACTCTAGTAATATTATTGAAGACAAAGGCATTGACAAGGGCACTTAATTTGAAATATTTAATTAGAATTTGTTTATTTAGAGCAGTAGTTGTACATGCTGTTAAATAGCTTGCCATCTGTCCAACAGATGATTTCCACTCCGGTGGGAAGCTTCCCATCAACAAGGTGAAGTATCATAGCGATGAAGATGGAGAATAGAGTTGGGGCAATAACACATCCCTGTTTGACACCTGATTCCACCTTAAATTGGTCACTTTGGGAGCCACTGCTGTCCAAGACTGTTGCCATCATGTCATCATGGAGGAGCTGCAGGATGTTCACAAATTTGTTAGGGCACCCGATATTTTGGAGGATGGTCCAGAGAGCGCTGCGATTCACTGTGTCGAATGCCTTTGCAAGGTCAATGAATGCCATGTATAGTGGTCGATTTTGTTCCCTGCATTTTTCTTGGAGCTGTCACGCAGTGAAGATCATGTCCACTGTTCTTCTGGAGGGGTGGAAGCCGTTCTGGGATTCTGGGAGGGTGTCTTCTGAGAGGGATAGAAGGCGGTTTGCAAGGATTCTTGCGAGGATTTTCCCAATGGAGGTTAGAAGGGAGATACCTCAATAGTTTTCCACAGTCTGTTCTTTCCCCCTTTTTGAAGAGGGTGATGATGGTGGCATCCTTGAAATCTGCTAGGATTTTCTCGGTCACCCACACTTTTTCTATGACCTGGTGGAGTTGTTGTGTCAGCTCAGGTCCTCCCACTTTAAAGATTTCAGTGGGGATCCCATCAGGTCTGCTGGCTTTGTTATTATTATTATTATTTTGTTGGCTGATGGCATTGCTGACTTCTTCCAAACTAGGCAGTGCTGCACCACCATCTCCCAAAGCAGTTGCTCTACTCTGAACTCAAGAATGGAAAACGGATTGATCTATATCTTGAGGTGGCTTCAGATTAACCTTCAAATTACTACTTGGGAAAATTGCACCCCCCT